GGCGACAAGGCAGGCCATGCTGAGAGGAAAACACGAAGACTTAGTCTTGATTTTTTACAGTCAGGGTGGGCGGGCTCAGATTGACTGCCGCGCGCGATGTGCGCCGCGTCCCATTCCTGCCACGCTTTTCGCATCGTCGACGACAAGAAAGACGATGTTGAGAAGAAAAACGGCCACTTTGTATCGATGTTTTAAAGTCCGGATGGGAGGTCCCGGATTGGGTCGCTATCGGCCGGAATACGAGGTAGGTGGGGGTATATAATAATAAGGAACAAGGATAAGAAACAAGGATGAGGGTGAGAGTGAGGAGGATGAGGAGGAGGAGGAGGAGGAGGAGAAGGAGGAGGAGGAGGAGCGAGGAGGAGCGAGGAGGAGGAGAGGAGGAGGAGCGAGGACGAGGAGCGAGGAGGGAGGAGGGGAGGAGGGAGGAGAGAGGAGGAGAGAGGAAGGACGGAGGAGGAAGAGAGAGGAGGTAGGAGGAGGAGGAGGGGAGGAGGAGAAGCAGGAGGAAGGGAGGAGGAGGAGCGAGGAGTGGAGGGTGGGGGGGGGGGAAGTGAGGAGCAGCAGAGGAGAAGGAGGATGGACGAGGAGCAGAAGGAGGAGGAGCGACAAGCGAGAGCGAAGGGAAGCGAGGAGCGAGGCGAGGAAGAGGAGGAGGAGGAGGGGAGGAGGAGGAGGAGGAGGAGGAGGGAGGAGGAGGAGGAGGAGGAGGAGGAGGTGGAGGGAGAGGAGGAGGAGGAATAGGAGGAGGAGGAGGAGGAGGAGGAGGAGGAGGAAACGGCGCCGCTCGAGGAAGCGGCGCTTCCTCGAGGAAGTGCCCCCTCCCCCCCCGAGTGGTGACCCCCCTTGGCAGTGCACCGGCCGCAGGCGGTGGACCCGTCGCGGAAGCTCTTCGAGCCAGCCGTCTGCAGCAGCTCGCTCTCGCAGAGGAAGAACAAACTGCACTCACATACAGCAGGGGCCCGACCACATCCTTAGTATTATACTGAAGGGGCCCTGGGACACACAAATAAATACACACACGCACGCAAATAACAGGATTTTGTCTTCCCCCCCACTTCCCATATTTCCCCGTACTTTCTGGGAGTCGACGATGAATTGTGTCTGTGTGTTGTTTCTTCTCCTTATTATACGGGTCGACGGTACCCCCTGCCTCGTGCGCGCCGCCAGATTGGGACGAAAGGCCAGCGGCTGTCCCTGCCCGATTTTTATCAGGTCCCGCTGTCGGTGGCGCCGAGGGCGTTCTGTCCACTTGAGGACACGGTTCGCCTGCCTAGCAGCGGCCACGGTCGGTTTGGGGGAGCACATGTCTGCTGCACACCACACAGCAGGGGCCCGACCGCAAGAAACCTTCCACAGGAGACCCAGCCCTGAGACCCCAGGACGTCTATTGGTTTTTGGTGTGGGAACGTCACGCTTTCCACAGCAAAGTCAGCGAAACCCAAGAAACCCAGGGCACCCTAGAGGCAAGCAGGGTGTTTCTTGGCATGGGTCTCCACTATGACTTTCAGAGCTGCGCGCGGATTTCCTGGATCGGCGCCGGGCCCCCCTCCCTTGCGCGGCGCCGAACCCTACCCCCACCAACCATCGATTGTGTCCTGAATCGATAAAAGGCGGGGGTAGGGTCCTGATTTCGCCACGTGTTCGACGAACTCCGAAGAGTTGCCTGACTCGTCGATCGGTGAAGGTAGGGTTTGGATCACGCCGCCGAACCGCTCCTAGAAATCGGCGCGCACCTGCGGTTGAGGGACAAAATAAGCAACACTCCCCCCTGCTCTACAATGCGACGTTGGCACAGTCACGCATCACCGCTTGGACACCCAAACTCGGAAGATTAGAAACCAACATTGAATTCGGGGGGAGGGGGGGTCAAACCATGCGTTGCGCGTGAGCGTTGCTTGATTGCTTCCGACGCCTGTCCGAAAATGTCTATGCCTCTGGTTTTCGGGCCATTACTCGGCTATCCGGGGGCCATTCGGGACGACCTGGGCACCCCCGGGACGCTCTCGGTGAGGCGCAACGCATCCCGAGGCTGGAACGCCGCCGAGAACCCACGAAAACGTGTATATAGATAGATAGATAGATAGATAGATAGATAGATAGATAGATAGATAGATAGATAGATAGATACACACAAGACTGCATTGGCGCTTCGCGCCATGCACCTTGGTTCTTAAAGCTCGGCATGCAGGAGAACCAAATATAGCGATGATTCATTGTTGCCGTTTGCGCCATCGTCGTTATAGTAATGTTATGTACTATCCTTATACTTCCTCTCCTCTTACTCGTAATCTTCCTTGTCTGCGAGCCACTCCTTGTCCTCATCCCCAGTTTTTATTGCAGGGGCTCCTCTTTGGAGGTGTTCTTGGGCCCCTCTCAAAAGCTTTTTTGGGACCTCTGGGGGCCTCCTGGGCGCCTTTTGGGGGCCTCTGGGGGCTTCTTGCGGCCACCTTGCTACCAACCACGGTCTCCCTGAACGACCGGGTCACGATTTGGAGTGCTTCGGGAGGCGTCTTGGGGCCATCTGGGGCTGTCAGCGGGGCTCTCTTGGGGCCATCTTGCGGCCCTGTTGGACCATATTGGGGCTCTTTTGGACTGTCTGGAAGCCCTTTGACACCGTTGTGGGAGGATTTTTGGGGCCTCTTCGGCGGACTCGGACGCACGGAATACCGAAGAACCGAATGTCCAAAAATTCAATAAAAAAACGAAAGGAAAATGTTGTTTTTTGCACTTGGAGAACCTCTTAGGGGTCTTCTTTGGGTCGTCTTCGGGCGTCTTGGGGCTGTCTGGGGCCGCGTGGGGCTCTCGCGGGGCCGTTCGGCCGCCCTCCTGACCGCTTTGGGCCCGCTGGCAAGGCCCGGCAGGGGCGTCCAGGAGGCCCGGAAGGCCCGGGGCACCTCTTGCAAGGCGTCCAGGGGGCCCCAAAAGCGCCAGATCCCGGGGGTCAGATTTTCCGGGGGGGGGGGGGTCCCACCCCCCCGGATTGCAAAATTATAGGAAAGGGAATAATATATATATATATATATATATATATATATATATTCACATATACATATATATATATATATATACATATGTATAGCAAGCATCGAAACTCGTCTCTCGAAGCCCGTGGGCTCGCCGCTGTATGCTGCCCGAGCCGAGTTTATGCCTGTGCCGTTCTTTCTCCTCCGATCTCGACCGCCTTGAAGGCCTCCACACAGGCCCTGCGCGCCCTCTCCTCTGTCAGGGCGGGCGCCGCCGCCGCCGCCGCGCCCGCCGCCGCTGCCGACAGCTGCGACGCCACCTCGGGCAGGAGCCGCTGGGACAGAAAGGCGGCAGCCCGCGCGCCGTTGTGGCCGTCGAAGACCCCGGCGAGGGTCACCTCGGGGCCGCCGGCGCCCGCGGAGAGCTCCTCCTCCCCCTCCTCCTCCTCCTCCTCCTCCCCCTCCTCCTCCTCCTCCTCCTCCTCCTGCTCCTCCTCCTCCTCCTCCTCCATCTCGTCGTCCTCCTCCTCCTCCTCCTCCTCACTCCTCCTCCTCCTCTTCCTCCATCCTCTCCTGCTCCTCTCCTCCTCCTGCTCCTCTCCTCCTGCACCTCCTCCTCGACTCTCATCCTCCCTGCTCTCTCAGCTCCTCCTCGACTCCACGCTCGCTGCGCTACTCACCCAGTCGTAACAGCATCCCACTCCCCCTCCGCCGCAGTCGAAGACCCCAGCGAAGGTCACCTCGGCACCGCCGGCGCTCGCGGAGAACTCGCTGGTGAAATCCTCCATGGCCGCCCTCCGCCCCTGCGACGACCAGCTCCCCACCGCCGCACGCACGGCTCCCGCCGACTCCGGTGGCCCAGACCTCTGATGCCTCTCGGCCATTTCCGCGCTGAGCCCCAGGAGCTCTCGGACACTTCCCTGGGACCCCTCTTTGGCCCCGGACCCTTTCGCCACAGGAACTCTGGGCCACTTCCCCAAGACCGCTTGTTGGCCCCGGACCCTCTCTTGACCCAGGTCACCCACCTCCGCGCACCCCGCCCCGCGATGCGCGACGCGTGATGACCCTCGCGCCCTCTCACCCTCCTCCGCTGGAGAAGGGCAGCCGCTGGCCCAGGCCGCGACGCGCGAGGCGCGATGACCTTCGCACCCCCGTGCGTGAGGAGGAGGAGGAGGAGGAGGAGGAGGAGGAGGAGGAGGAGGAGGGGGAGGGGGAGGAGGAGGAGGAGGAGGAGGAGGAGGGAGGAGGAGGAGGAGGAGGAGCAGGAGCAGGAGGAGGAGGAGGAGGAGGAGGAGGAGGAAGAGGAGTAAGAGACTTACGTAGGAGACATAGGAGGACCTGGCTGACGGCCGCCGGGCGCCGGCGAGGGCCCCCAGATGCCGAAAGCAACGAGACGCCTCCGCCTTGCCTCCTGCGAGTGCGTCCGAGGTCTGGGTCTGCGGCGGCTCCCGCGGGCGCCGCGGCGCCGCCCACGCCCGCAGCCGTGGCCTGCCTCCGCGCCTTGGCGCCCGCCTCGGCGCGGAAGCGCGCCGCCGTCGCCGCTGCCAGGGACGCGGCTCGGACGGGCGACGCGGGCTGGCCCTCGGCGCCGCTGTCGCCGGAGGCGGCGTCGGGGTCGAAGCTGAGCCTGCCGCGCTTCGGCATTGCTGAAGGCCCCCGGCAGCGCCTCGGGGCCCCCGGGCGCCGGGCCGCGGCCGAGGCGGCTGCGGAGGCGGCCCGAGAGGTCTGCCCCTCCTCGTCCTCTGGGAGGGAGGGAGGGAGGGAGGAAGGGAGGAAGGAAGGGAGGGAGGAAGGGAGGAGGGGGAGGAGGAGATTGGAGAGGGAGGGGAGGAGGGGAATGGGGTAGAGGAAGGGGGATGGAGAGGGGGGGTGGGATGTGGGCGGGGGCGGGGGAGGGAAAGGGAGGGGGGAATAGGGAGGAGGAGGAGGGAGGAGGAGAGGAGGAGGAGGATGGAGGAGGAGGAGGAGTGATCGGGAGGAGGGGCAGGAGGCAGGAGGAGGAGGAGGAGGAGGAGGAGGAGGAGGAGGAGGAGGAGAAGGAGGAGGAGGAGGAGGAGGAGGAGGAGGAGGGGGAGGAGGCCGCGACGAGGATGTCGCGACGACGGCGCCGATCCCGCGGCAAGAGCCGTGGCGACGGCGATCGCCTCGCGTCTGGCCGGTCGCTGCGCGCCGCGCCGTCCTGGCGGCCTCAGAGCAGCCATGCACAACAGCCTCCCTGCGATCTCGGCGGCCATCGCTTCACCGACCCCCGTCCCCAATGACACGGCCCGAGCCCCACTGGCCGACTTGACCCCTGGATTCGGATTGGGATGTATGTCTGCCTGTCTTTATGTCTATCTGTACGTATGTATGTGTGCATGCATGCATACATACACGCGAACCATACTGCATGCATACACATATACATGCCAACATGCATGCAGACATGTATGCATGTATGGATGTACAGTTGAATGTATGCTGGCATATGTGTATGCATGTATGTATGCGTGCATGCATGCATGCATGCATGTATATATGTATGCATGCGTGTGTACGCATGTATGATGTGTGTATGTCTGTATGCATGCATGTACGTAGCACCCCGCAATTGTGGATAAGAATGAGGGGGCGGGCGCGGGCGACGCGGACGTCGAGCTGGCGGACCTCGTGGCCCGCACGAATGCAAAAGAAGCCTGGAACGAATGCAAAAGACATCCGCCGCATGCGCCGAAAATTTTGGGTGGGTCGCGGGGTGGGACGCGGGTGGGTCGCGGGTGGGTCGCGGTGGGTCGCGGGTGGGTCGCGGGTGGGTCGCGGGTGGGTCGCGGGGTGGGTCGCGGGTGGGTCTCGGGGTGGGTCGCCGGTGGGTCGCGGGTGGGTCGCCGATGCAAAAGAAACCCGCCGCAGGCGCCGAAGTTTTGGCTTGTTCAGTGAACGTAGTTTGGGTCGCGGGTGGGTCGCGGGCTCTCCACCTCCACCTGGAAGGAATTCAAAAAAAGCCCGCCGCAGGCGCCGAACATTTTGATTTGTACACTGAACGCGGTTTGGGTCGCAGGTTCTCCACCTGGAACGAATGCAAAAGAAACCCGCCGCAGGCGCCGAAAATATTGGGTGGGTCGCGGGGTGGGTCGCGGGTGGGTCGCGGGTGAATCGCGGTGGGTCGCGGGTGGGTCGCGTGGGTCGCGGGGTGGGTCGCGGGTAGGTCTCGGGGTGGGTCGCGGGTGGGTCGCGGGTGGGTTTTGCGGTGGGTCTCGGGGTGGGTTCGCGGGTGGGGCGCGGGTGGGGTCGACAGGGGGGTATCGGGGCTGGGTCAAGGGCGGGTCGCGGGTTGGGTCGCGGGTGGGTCGCGGGTGGGTCGCCGGTGGGTCGCGGGGTGGGGCGCGGGTGGGTGGCGGGGTGGGTCGCGGGTGGGTCGCGGGTGGGTCGCGGGGTGGGTTGCGGGTGGGTCGCGTGGGGCGGGTCGCGGGTGGGACGACGACAACAACAGACAACAGACAACAAACAACAAACAACAAACAACAAACAACCAAGAACCAACAACAACAACAAGAATCCGCATCGCGGAATTACTCTTCAGCCACGCACCCAGGGACAGTGAATGACCGTTCGGTTCAGCCACTCACTCTGATGTATGTATGTACGTGGGTGTGCATGTATGTGGATGTATGGATGTATGTATATATGTATCGATGGACGTGTGCATGCATGCATTCACGCATGCTTGCATGCATACATGCGTGCAGGCACATCGTTATGTATGTATGCATGCATGCATGCACGCATGTATGCATGCATGTATGTATGTATGTTTGTATGCATGCATGCATGCACGTATGTATGCATGTATGCGTGCCTATGTGTATGTGTGCCTGCATGCCCTTATGTATATATGTATGTATATGTGTATGTGTATGTATCTCTACATATATATACATGTATATGTATGTATGCATGCATACGTGCATGCCTGCATACAGTTACTCATGTGTGTGAGTATGTACGCATGTAGGTATAATTATATCTATGCATGCGGATGTGTATGTATTTATGTATGTATGTATGTATGTACGTATGTCTGTATGTATGTGTGCATGTATGTATGAATGTATGTGTGTATGTAGGTATGTGCGTCTGTATGTATGTGTGCATGCATGTATGCATGTATGTGTATGTGCGCATGTGTGCAGGTGTGTAAGCGTGTATGTGTGTGTGTGATGTCTGTGTGGATGTATGTCTGTACGTATGTGTGTAAGTGCGTGTGTACGAGCATGAGCACATGCATGTATCAATGTGTGTGTGTATGTGTATGTATGTATGTACGCGTGTATGTGTATGTGTGCATGGATGCTTGTATGCGTGTATGGCTATATGTATGTGTATGTGGGTGTGTGTATGTGTCTCTATGTGTATATGTATGAATGTGTGCCCGTCTATCTGTATGTACGTATGCGTGTATGTGTGTATGTCTGTATGTATGTATGGATGCTGAGTGTCTGTAGGTGTGTGTATGTATGTATGCATGTATGCATGCATGCTTGCATGCATGCATGCATGCAGGCATGGTGTAATGTAAATATGTATGTATGTATGTATGGATGTGTGTGTATGTAGGTATGGGCGCATGTATGTATGTATGCATGCATGCATGTATGTATATGTGTACGTGTGCATGCGTGCAGATGTGTAAGTATGTATGTATGTATGTATGTGTGTGTGCTGTATGTATGTGTGGATGTATGTATGTACGTATGTGCGTAAGTGCGTGTGTATGAGTATGTGTGCATGCATGAATGTATGACTGTGTGCCTGAGTGTATGTATGTATGTGTGTATGTATGTATGTACGTATGAATGTATGCACGCGTGTATGTGTATGTGTGTATGGATGTGTGTATGTGTGTATGTCTATATGTATGCGTGCATGTGTGTATGTGTATGTATGTGTATATGTATGACTGCGTGCACGTCTGTATGTATGTACGTATGTATGTGTGTATGCCTGTATGTATGCATGGCTGGGTTATGAGTGTCTGTAGGTATGTGTATGTGTGTGCACGTATGTATGAATGCATACATACATGCTTGTATGCATGCAGACATTGTGTAATGTGTGTATGTATGTTTGTAAAAGTGGATGCGTGCATGCAAGTATGTATATGTGTTTGCACGTATGCATGTATGTATGTATGTATATATACGTATGTGTATGCATGAATGAATGTATGAATGTATGTGTATGTGTATATGCGTATGTATATACGTATGGAATCATGCATGTATGTATATAAACATGCTTATATCTATCCATACATATGTATGTGAATGTGTGTATGCATATTTGTATGTATGTATGTATGGATGTATGTATTTATGCCTGTGTGTCTGTATGTAAAGTTATGCATGTATGCATGCATGCATGTATGTGTGTATGTGTGTATGTGTGTATGTATGTATGTATGTATGTATGTATGTATGTATGTATGTATGTATGTATGCCTGCCTGTGTGTATGTATGTATGAGTATGCATGTATGCATGCATGTACGTATGTATGTGTGTATGTGTGTATGTATGATTGTGTGTATGTATGTATGTCTGCCTGTGTGTCTGCATGTATGTTTATGCATGTATGCATGCATGTATGTATGTATGTATGTGGGTATGCGTATGTGTGTATGTATGTATGTATGTGTTTATGTATGTATGCATGCATGCATGCATGCATGTATGTATGTATGCAAATGTGTATGTATGTTTGCTCCTCCTCCCCCTCCTACATGGCCGTGCGCCGCGAACAAGCAAAAGGAGGGGGACGCAAATCATGCTACAGTCAGCACGTGCAGGATGCAAGGGCCTTGGAAGGTCATGCCGCCACTCTGCGAGCGGGTTGCGGCCAGCGGAAGCGGCCAAGGATGGGTCCAGGAGAAAGGACGCACCTTGGAGAGCAGGTTCCCGCGGGAAGCCTCGTAGAGCTCCCTGCACGACTAGAAATTCAGATGCTCCCATCAGAGAGCATATGAGCTCACTCGCTGGCTCCAAGCTCCAGTGAAGACCAGAACACCACCGACACAGGGCGGCATAGAGCTCAAGTGAATGCTGCTCGTGCGTTCTTGATTTTCTGTCGTGATCGAGGCCTGCTCGCCTCGTAACCTTGGAGAGCTGCTCCTCCTTGCTTGAAAGGGCCCTGGGACACACAAACAAATACACACAAATAACCAGATTCCCTATAGTTTCCTGTATTTTCTGGGTTTTTGTCTTCCCCCACCTCCCATATTTACCATATTTCCCTGGGAATCGACGATTAATTGTGTCTGTGTTTTTTCCCCTCCTCCTTGCTGTGCGGCTGGACGGCCCGAGGAGGCACGAGACGCCAGAGGCACGGCCCGCAGGGCCAGCGCAGAGGAGAGAGGCCCCAGAGGTGGCAGAGAGAAACAGGGGCCGAGAAGCGTCGTGTGGGGGATCGACTGCAGACCTCTACCTTTTCCTCCTCCTTTTCTTTTATTGTTCCTCCTCATGCTCCTCCTCCTGCTCCTCCCCCTCTTCCTCCTCCTCCCCCTCCTCCTCCTCCTCCTCTTCCTCCTCCTCCTCCTGGCGCGTGGGACCGGGGACGTGGATAGCGTGTCACGCAACCTTCGAACTGACTTCCTCATCGAGCCTGCAAGAGGGGGTCCGCATTTTTGTCCATGGGTTCGGCGAATCGCACGATTCTGGGGGGGTAGCACATCCTACAGCCGATCCCCCACTTGAAAAAGGGGGCCCTGGCCAGCCGCGCGAGCCGCGGCGCCCGGGCTCAGCCCCGACCAGATCTCCACCTCTCGAGCCCGCCCAAGAGGCCGAGCGGCCCCGGACGCCGACGGAGCGCGGCCGAGGTGGGGCGCACGGAGACATACTAGTCTTGTGGATGCCACGACAATCTAACAGTCCCATCATTCCATCTAAGATGTGCTTAAAAAAGTCGGAGGCATGTTCTAAACATGTTTAACACATGTTTGTTTGGTCACATGCTGAAAACAGCTTAACGCATGGCTTAGACATCTGGAAATTCCTTGGCAACGTGCTTCCTCTCCATTGATCGTCCTCCACGATGCTAGTCCTATACGTCCTCCTTGGAGGCGCGCGTCCGACCCGAACGTACAGTATGCCCATCTTGTAGCACACACACATATATATATATATATATATATCGTCTCCCGAGCGGTGCAGCCAGAGAGCGCCCCCCCCACGACGCTTCCACTACAAGATTTCTCGGTGCGCGCGTCGCCCCTTGGGGGGGGGGGGGGGGCGACGAACACATAGGATTACATAGTATGTTGGGGTGACGCCGACGAGAAGGAACCCCGCCCGAAGACGAAGCCAGGACGAGGGCAACATCGGGTGACTTGCCATCGCTCGGACGTCCATTCTCCGTGCGTCTGTCGATCTCATGCGCGTTTTTTGTTGCTGTTCCGCTAGATGATCCAGGAGGCTCATCGATGGTCCTCGCCGACAAAGATCGAGAATCTCTGGGATCAGGCGGCTCTGGAGGATGTCTCGGGCGCCGCGGCCTTCTTCGAGCGTTCCGAAACGTTCTGAGAGCGTTCCGGGACGCACTGGAACGGATTCATCCTCGTTCGGGAGCGGCCACGAGGGGGGTGTCCAAGAGGGGGGGTGCAAAACATGACCGGCGGCATGTGCGCGGCCCAGCGGGGGGGCCAGAGACATAATGAAATAAGAAGAGGCGCCATGAAATCTGGGGAAATATCATGGCCCACGCCATGATATCCACCCCCCCCCTAGTCATCACCCCCCTCTTTTCCGCCCCCGACTCGTCCTTGCCCCGTCCGACTCCCGCTGCCCGCCTCCGGTTTCACTGGACGACTGGTCGAGCTCCGAGCAGTTGCACCAGCGGTGCTGGCCACAGCGCGCCTGGCGCGCGGCAACTGCGGCGCGCGGCAACTGCTGGCCAAGATCAGGGGAAGCCAAGAATCGGAGAAACGTAAGACTCGGGCACGGGGGACTCGGGTTAGCCTGACGGGGCCATCATTAAAATGACGAGACCCAATCTGAAATTTGACGCGAGCTCCCGCTGCAAACATCCCACGAAAACTGGACCGTCAAAATTCAGGACGCGCTCGCCAAATACTCGGGAAATCCGAGTTCCGGCTTACTCGAGTCTTACGTTCCCCCGAACAAAGTACCCATACCGCTACTCCCCAGACCTCCCCCGAGGTACGTTCTGACCAAGATTTCGAGGCGGATCCAGGCGTGGCGCCGGGGGAAAGACAGTGGTATTGGTGCCTTGGTTCTCCTCTGAGAATCCTGCTCACCCTAGCGCGGTAGCGACCGCGGCGTCGTGCTCCCTGTCCGAGCGCGCCTGGGCGGCCTTCTGCTTCCACGCGGGGATCGGCTTGCCGTTCAGGTCAGTCGCCGGCGCGATCTACGGCATCGCCGCCTCCAGCTCGGCCTTCCGAGGTGGGGAAGCAGATCAACGGCCATTGAGCTGGGACCGACCGTCCCGGCATTCCTACAGGCCTACCACGAAATATTCTTGGGGCCCCGACATGTTCTAGGAACAAAAACAATGCTCGTAGAACGCAAGCCCGATGTGATAAACAATGCAGTCTCGGCCAGAATATTCTTATCACGTCTCGTGCAGACCACACAAGGTTCTTAGAGAAAATGATCGATGGGCCTATCGGCGAGTTAGGACGCTTTGCCGCTGCTCGAAGCTACCGCCACCGCCGTTCAAGGCAGCGGCGGCAGCCGCTCCACCGCCCCCGAACCCCGGGCATTGCATTTTGGCTCTTCACGCGGGGCGTGCTCGCCCCGCTTCGGGCCCCCGACCATCAAAATATCGACCTGGCTCGCACAATGCCGCAGAGCGATCGCCAGGGCCGGGGCCGTACTCATTTGAAGGGGAACTGGGACACACAAATAAATACACACAAATAAACATATCCCCCATATTTTCTATATTTTCGGTTTTTTTGTCTTCCCCCCCACTTCCCATATTTTCCCATATTTTCTGGGAATCGCCGATTAATTGTGTCTGTGTGTTTTTTCCCCTCCTGATTATTGGCGGTGTTGCAACTTGTCCGCAACATCTGATCTCAGGGTGCCCCCTCTCCGCCGGGGTCAGAGGTTTCCCGAACGGAATCCGAGTAGATGGGGTCGGAGGATCGCGCCGCATCCCAGATGCATCGGCGACTTGAGCGATGCATCGGCGACATCGGCGTGGGAAAACTCTGGCTCCGTGTCGAGCTGCATCGCCGATGCATCGTCGACTCGGAGCGATCCTTGGACTTGGCGGCGCGCACAAGGGGGTGGAGGGGGAGGGCTTCTTGGAAAGAGGCTGCTTCTCAGAAGGCGCTGGCCTTATCTCTATAGACAAGGCCCGCGGTTTCTAAGAAGCAGGGAGTACTTCTAAGAAGCCCCCCCCTCCCCCCCCCCCTCTGCGCGTGGCTGATGGACCCGATCTCTACTCGGACCGCACTTGGGAGGCCTAGAACTGAGTATCCTTTAATCGATCCCTAATCCCCAGCGGAGTGAGTGGCCTGGGCCCCACTGGCCGATCT